GACTCTTGACATCAAAATATCCAGGTTAGATGACAGCTTTCAAAAGTCACTAATCTCCCAATGCTATATGAACCTCAAGACCTTTTAAAGTTTAATTAATTGTTCTATAAAATGGGAATAATGATTTTCTACACCTTTTTACACAGCTGTTTAGAGAAAAACAAGAGCTAAAATAGGCTTGCTAATATCTATGCTTGGTTTTGCTCTAATATTATTCTATAATAAATAATCCTTAAATGTTTGTAACAATAAGTATATTTCCCTCATGAGTCTTTAGACCAGTAGTGTCTTCTTTGATCATGACAATGTTTGGGTTCAAGTCTGATTCAGTGTTTGCCAGGCTGGAGGGACAATGGCTATTAATGTTCTTGTGACTGTCAGTTGCATAACAAAAGAGCACATGGAAGCTCCCTGTGACTATAAAAGACTGAGATGTAAAGTAACACATCACTCCCTGAAATGTAAGGTCCATTGTTCACAAGGCCCAGCCCAATGTCAATGGGGCCAGTGAAACACCTCCAGTCTGCTAGGAAGATGTGCATGAGAGGAGGGCAAGGATGATTGCTAAACATGAGTAATAGAACTTATTGTAGTGAATGGAACTGTTCTGAAAACTATAAAATTACAAGCAGATATTGAGATAATAATGATGATTACTTTATATTAAGATAGTTAGCAGTCTGAGATTATTTTACAAATTATATGATTTGGAGCTTTGTAGAAACAGAAGTACTCAAACATAGGGCTCCTCTTGCAAAGCCTACAGTTACTTGTGGAATCCCAAAGCATACTTTTCCAAACAACTAAATATGTGTCTAATAGACAAAAACAGATGGTTGGAAGATGCGTTGTTGGCCAGGATCTGATCGGGGAGGACAGCTTCTAAAGTCCTCTCAGTCCTTCCCTGAAGATGCATTGGAGATGGTGGATTCTGTGTGATCAGGATGTACTTCAGTCCAAGTCACACAAAAAGCCAGTATAATTTCCTTATGTAGCTGGTAAAATTGTCATTTACAACAATGACATCTATATCTAACAATTCTACAGTGGATAATACATGACTAGTCATCCTGCCTACACTCTGTGACACAGGACACAAGTGAACTCCTTTGTTATCAGGCCAATGAGCCCATAGAGAACTTGGCCAAGGCACCCTGCCTATTCTCTAAGTGTTCTTTAAACTTGAACTAGCAAGTGCTTATAAACTGTGAAGAACAGTGGTCCATAAGCTCAAAATATAGACCAACTTGGAAGGTCAGAGGAGTTAACAGAAATTTATAGAACTAATTTGGATAATGACATCTCAATACAAATGATAAGATACATAGGTAAAAGTGGACCAATTATATATAAATGTGACTAGAAAAGATGGGTAGTTCCTATTCCAAAATGACTCTGATCCCAGATACCCTAGCAAGCAGATCCCACTCTGGAGTCAAAACACGCACAGACAGAATTCACTCTTATTTCTTAGGACAGATGAAGAAGAAAAAGAATTTAAAAGAAGATTTTCAGTATAGACAAAAATTCTTAAATATATATTGTGTAAAATTTGTGCTTCTTGAAATGTGAGGATAGAATAAACATTAAAGACAACTCATTAACATGAGACATATGAATGAAAAGAATTTGTAGCAAGGAGCACAGATGCATCTCAAAAGTATATTTCTAACCCTGGGCTGTGGTTTGTTTCCAGAAATGCAAGTATGTTATTGATGGTTCTACCACGTTCCTTACTGTCTTTCTAAGCCTTATTGGAACCATGGCATGACTATCACACCTTCCCTAAAGTAGAGAAAATACATTTAAATAGTTTCTTGCAACTATCAACTTAATCCTCCAATGATTTCTTTCTGTCAGTTGAGTAGGCAAGGGAAAGAGAAACAGTTTGGCAGGATTGGACTCTGCTCAGCAATAGAAATGAAAAATGGATCAGAACGAAGAAAGCGTGAAGTTGGGAATCAAGCAGAGTCAATTTAAATACTGACTCTTGCACTAAGTCATCTCTAGCAGAGTTGGACGCTGGTTTTCTTACCTGTATAAGAATGTCAGTTTGTCAGGGCTGCTATTGTGTATGGGAGTGGGAAGTCGGCCATATTAGAGGTGATAACCCACACCAGATCCTTCTCTTTTCAACATATTAGAAGTAATTTTTTGTGTGTGTTTTCTAAATATTTTTGTTAAATAAGAAACCTAGAACATTTATGCTATGGGAACTTGTATGATTTCCTTTAATCTGAGAAAATTTTAAGTTTATACATCTATAAAGGTATTTATTTATTTTCTGACTTTTATATTAGTTCTCAGTTTTGAAGAGAACCTAAATATTGCCTTGTGGATAACACACAATACAAGGTAGAAAGAGAAACGTAAAATTGTAAGTTGAAAATTTTTGGCTTCTTAAACATGTAAAATGGTTTGAAACAAGAAGAATTAAGCAGTTTGGGTAATTTACTCAAACAATTAGCTTTTCTTGTTATTTTTCAAGTCCTTAGGGGAAAGAAAACCGAAAGAAAAAGAAAAAGAAATCTGACAAAGTACAATGTGTTTCATAATTTTGCTTTTATGAAACATTAATGGTCATTGGTATGGATTATATCTGTCCAAATGTACAAAGACACACAGCAAAATTATCCATAGAACTGGGGAGTTGGCTTTGTCAGTAGAGTTTTTGATTTGCAAGCATGAGGGTTGGGTTTGATCCCCCAAACCTCCTAAAACATTACAGGCTGTTGCTGTTGTCCTTGGTAACTCCACAGAAGTGAAGGTTCACAGGACACCATTCACTTCAGACACAGGGCAAGAGGCCCCTGAGCTGGACCTATGAGCCTTCTCTCTCAGTACTAGCTTTCATGGTAACAGAAGGGATCATGCAAGTTTCCAAAGGAAGGAAGCAACCAATAGTCCTACCCAGCTATGACATCTATGAACCACAACAACAACCAAAATAAGACAATAACCCTAAAGATACAGTAGTGGAATGGGAAACCGAGCTAACTACCCAATAAAGTAGTAAAGATATGGAGGCGAATCTACAACATCTACATCAAAGAACCAGCAAAGCCCCTAACTAGATTCTAAATATGTGTCAATATACTCACAGATAAATGCCACCTTCATCCTTCATTAAAGAAACTTCTGTTTGTAACAGATGGAGACCATTGCAGAAAACCACAACCAATCGAAATGCAGAGCTATGGAATCAACTCTTAATGGATCCATCTTAAAAGAACTCCTGCACCTAAGGCTCAGGGTGCATTTGAAAGACAGGGCTGAAAGATCATCAGAGAAAGAAAATCAGTGAGTTTCCCATGAGATTTTGACTCCTAGTAATTTCAGAAGCGATATCCATATAGTCCCAGCAACATGATAGCCCAAACATGAGCTTGGACAAGGACAACAATAGATGTGCCAAAGTGGACAGGGAAGAATTCAGGAGGCCTCCACCCTACACACTGAATAGTTAAGGAACGTTGAGAGCAGGAAAATCAGTCCTTTCCAGGTAAGAGCATACTAGTTAGTTATCCAATACCAAATGGTCAGTTCTGATAACATATATATAAGTAATTAATAACACAGACTGAGCAGGGTATATTTATGTATTTAGGAATATATATGAATATACACAAGGGTATGTAACAACAATTAATAACCAAAGAAAGCACATATTTGAAAGACATCAGAGAGGGGAGAGGGGTGTATGGGAGAGTTATAATCTCAAGAAAAGAAAATAATTTTGAAAATTTGTGCACAAAATTAAAATTGTCTTAAAAATAACAACACATAGACATAAGCCAGACATGTTTGGTGTATGTCTTAACCACTATTCTATTGCTATGGAGAGACATCATGATCATGACTCTTATAAAGGAAACCATCTCGTTGGTGCTGATTGCAGTTTCAGAGGTTTAGAACCTTCTCATCATGGCAAGGAGTGGGGATGCATGCAGGCAGACATGGTGCTGGAGGAGGATATATAAGAGTTCTACACCCAGATCTACAGGCAGCAGAGAGAGACTCTAGGCTTGGAAACCTGAAAACCCAGCCCCAGCCACAAACTTGCCCCAATGAGATCAAACCTGCTAATCCTTTCAAACAGTGTTACTCCCTACTGACCAAAAATTTAAATCCATGAGCCTATGAGGGCCATTCTTACTCAAACCACCACAGTGTAAATATTTGTAATCCCATTACTGGGGAGGTGGAGACAAATGGATCCCTGAGGATCGTGAGCTAGTCAGTTTAGCCTTCTTCATGAACTCCAAGTCAATGAGAAATCACCTAAAAACAAATCCAAACAGCAAGACGGATGGCACCAGCAGGGTGGTACCCAAAGTTGTTCTCTGGGACACACACACACACGCATACACACACACCACCTGTGTATGCACGTATACACACTTGAACACACACAGATTCTTATAGACAAATTGTTACAGAGATGATACAAATCAATGCACGAAAGTTGTTTGAGTACCATCTGGTGTGAAGCAAAAGCAGAAATAATGTCAGTTGCAATAGTAGTATCATTAATATTGACTAAATTGGCCACAAGAGCTCCTTGGAATAGCCGAGTAATTTCAGTGCTACTGAAGCCCGAGCTTTTGCCTTAAAAGATTCAGGTAGAGTGAGCATGTCCGCGAGGAGAAAATAGAGAGTGAACAGTTTGGCTCCAAATATCACTGCTTCTGGTACTAGGGTGCAGCTTCTGCTTATGGTTGCCGGGAAAATCGAACTAATGTGACAGTCATTTGTGGATTCTGTCCAGGATACCAATATTCTGGGGACTGCACTTTCCTCAGAAAGAGCACCTCTGGCCAGTGTCCAAAACAGGCTGACAGAAAAAGCCCAACCGTTGCCTTGTGTTTAGATTTTAAACCCTCCAGTTTCTATGGAAAAGAGGTTTTTGCATTTTTTTTTAAAAAATGTAGTAGCAGGAGAGTCAAGGAGATATAGAACAGAAGAACACTAGAAATTAAAAAGAGTATAATTACCAGTGCTCTATGAGTATGGATCCTTCATCAGCAATATCCTGGGTGTGTCCTGCCTGTCTCTCCATGAGAATGAACTGGGAACATGCCATCTTAAGATACTTTCTCACATCTGGAAATGGGATAGATCTCTCCATCTATCAGTTGATACTGGAACCAGAATCGAAACTATGACTCCAAAAATCTATGTCCAGCATTTTTCTCTCTGTCTTTTTGGTTATAATGGTTCACAGATTCAGACAAGATTCTGAAGCAATTTCAGCTATAAAGAAAAAGAAAAGGAAACAAACTGGCATTAGTTTTTGTTACAGAGTTTCCAAAATTGCCACACAAACCACCACCACCACCACCAACAACAACAACAACCAATTTTTAAAGGAATAGACTAGCTTTGGGGACTGTGAAAGTTAATCTCCATTGTCAACTTGATGGAATTTAGAACCACCTAGAAGATATAGGTCTAGGTGTGTCTATGAAGAAGTTTCCAAAGAAGGTTAACTGGAGTGAGAGGACTCACCCAAAATGTGGAGAGCACCACTCGATGGCCTGGGTCCTAAACTGAATAGAAAGGAAGAAGAACGAGGGTGTGCAACTCGTCTCTGTGCTTCCTGACTTCAGACGACCAGCTGTTTCACACTGCCATACTTTCCCTACCATGATGCACTGTAGCCTCAAGTTACAAGCCAAAATAGTCCCCTGCCTCCATTAGGTTGCTTCTTATCAATTATTTGGTCATGGCGAGACAAAAATAACTCACAACTGTGAGAAATTGTTGCTAAAATTCCTTCCTAGGGGAGACATAAACAATGTGTACCCTTTCTCCTAAGGTCTTAAAGACAACAGAGGCATGGTTCAACCAGTGAGTTTATTGGACTTACTTACCACGGTGTAATAAGGAGTAAATTCTTCTCCAGAGGCATACAGGAAAGTCTACCATGCAGGAATGAGGTTCTCCATAAACATAGAGTCTCCCTCTCCTCGTTCCTTTGCCTATATGATCTGGTGATTTCCCCAAGGCCTCAAGCAGTTAGGCAGCATTGCAAATGATGCAGAGAGTGGCTAGATACTCAGTGAGGTCTCATGATTGAAGGTCTCATGACCCTCCCAGATCCTCTAGGAGGGGATGTAATCAGTCAGCTAGCCCAGCGGGGGTGATCTTCACAAGTCATCACAGTTGAAGACCTCAAGGGGGGGTCGTTTAACTCAGAGGCCAGTCCTACAAAACAGCACAGAATGCACTGAAGCGCTCTCCGCTCTGCTTACTCTCTCAACTCTTCCCTAAAAGAGCAGGGTCTACAGTCAGATATCTTTTGTTGTTGTTGTTATGAGAGAGCAGGTCACACCATGTAGGCCAGACTGGCCTCAAACTCATAAATAAATCCTGCTTTAGCTTTGAATTCCTGGGGTTACAGCATGAGCCACCATGCCCAGGTAACAGCCAGAACTCTTTTCTTGGGCTCCTTGACATCCATGCCTTAGAACTTGAAACTAAGTGCTCTACTTTGAATTTGGAATAAATGCCCCATTTAGGAGTTAAGGGTATCTCAGTTGAGAGTGCTTTCTTAGAATGTTCAGGGACATGGGTTCAACCTCCAGCATTGGGTAAGAAAAGAAAGAAGAGAAAGGAAGAAACACGCACATGCGCGCGCGCGCGCACACACACACACACACACACACACAGAACTTTGGTCAAATTAAAAGCATTTTAAAAATAATTCAGCAGCATCTGACCCCTCCTAGTTGCCTGCTTCCTCTTTGACTTAGAGTTCTTGGGTAGGCTATCAAGAAGTTGAGGGATTGAGTCAATGGAAATGGTCCTCAAAGTTCTAAAGACATCATTCCAGTTTGGGAGGGCATAGTTCTGAAACTCAATCCAGCCTCAGAAGGCAGCTGCCTTGGCCCTCAGCAGTGACATGTTTGTGTCCTGTATTGGCAGTGTCTTCATGGTGTCCATATGGCCAGGCAGAAACTATGTCCCCAGGGGAGTGGGGCATGATGGGATTGTCGGATATGATTCCACTTTTACTGAAACACATTTTCCTCTCTACCTCTTCAGCTATTTGCTCTCTGTCAATGAGTTCACAGGTGGCCTTGGCTCCTAAAAGCCAGTCATCAGAAGATCATGATCAAAGAGAGCCTTTAGCACAGACTATGGACCACCTGCCTGGAGAATGCTACAATCAGAATCCCCCTCACACGCACCCCCACCCCCATTTCCAGTGTCCAGAGCCTCACATAATTTTTTACTTTTCTCTCTGCTGAGAGTTCCAGGCATTGGGCTGTGTTATTAGATTTTGCAATCTCCCCAGCCAGGAAGGCTTTCACAGTCTCCTCTACACTGATGTTTTCATTTCAACTCAAGTCTTCCTCCTTCTGAAGGCGGTGGCATTAGCATCATTAGGATAAGGCAGCCGAGAACATGAAGCAGGGCTTATGAAACCCACAATTAAATCTCCGTGCTCACCAGACCTGGCACGGACTTGTCTATCTCAGGGCTTCTGTGTGCCTGGAAAGAACCAGCTCTGTTACATTTGCTATTCCCCGGTGGCCAGGGACAAGGGCTGTTAAGATCCTATGTGCTGCCACGTTAATGTTTTGAATTTACAAGGTCTGTTTGTGAAATACCCTGCAGCTTGATTTCTCTCTCCTGGTTACAGAAAACCCCTGGAAGGCCCAAGGTTGGGGCTGGTATTAATAAAATAAAGCTTCAACTAACTACGAAGCATGGAGTGCAATACCCTCTTTGATACCGGAAGCTAGGTGAACGGAGGTAGAAGTAATCTAGACACACATGGAGGCATTTAGGGTGTCAGACAGAGGGGATCACAAAAATAAATGAGTTAAGCTAGCAATAAATGAGCTGGAAATGTAAAACATTCATCTGAATTTCTCAGGTCGAAGGTAGAGAAGGGACAGATGGGATTGCCTCAAGTCTGGAGAGAGGTAACCTGATGTATAAAGGGAAAATAAGAGGAGAGGAGGAGGGGACGGAGCCTGAAAAGTTGAGAGAACAGAAGGCTCTGAAGTAAAGGAACAACTGCTGAACTGCCCAACTAGAAGGGCTAGAAGGCAGACTGTGGCATCACACAGACAGGCATCTGAGTCCCAACAACTAAAAGGAGGATTCCAGCATCCAGCACTCAGCCAACGGCCTGCTTGGCCTGTAGAAGTGGGAAAAGCTGGGAAATTCCATTCTGATTCCTATTCAAAGGAAAGAAGTAGCCTGACCCTCAAGAGTTAACCTTGCTGGGGCCTGGAGAGGTGACTCAATTCTTATTTGTGCTTACTGTTTTTCCACAAAGGACCCAAGTTCAGTTCCCAGACACTGCCTTGGGTAAACTCTTGCTCCTAGTGCCAAGTCTTTGTTCAACTTAGTTTGTTAAGTGTAGTTTTTCTGCAAAAAAGAAAGAAAGACAGGAACAAAGAAAGAGTAAATGCAATTTCTCTCAAAAAATTATGTGCTTTTTGTTTCATTGTAAAAATAAATAAGTAAAATTGTAATCATGACTCTGTATGTCCCTCATCAGTTTATTTACTTTTCCTAGGAGCAACTATAGATTCCATTACACTAGGAAATACAGTGGGGGAGCTCAGATCTGACCCCAGCTGCTTCCTGAGATTTCTTCTTCATCCTGCTGACTGCTAAGTTTTGAAAGCTCTGCCCCTCAGTTACAGAGGAAACCCAGGCAGGGGAAGCACCACATGGACTCAAAGGCCTCCATGCTGATGAGCTGATAAGTGAATTTCTAGAATTCTTGTCAGTTTCAAGGAAGGAAGGGTTATTTGGAATTTGGGGTCAGGACTGGATTTCTGAAGCAGGAATGGGAAACAATATCAAGTTAGAAAAAGCAATAGAAAAAGATACAACTAGAATTTTGCTCCTATCTGTGGACCAGAGAGAAACTGTGGAAACAAGTATCCAGCTCATATAGTCCATGGCTACATTATTCATAATGTTGTGTGTTTTGTTTTCATCTGTTTGAGATTATGAGCAAGTTCACTCATTCAACTGGTGCTTACTGAGCGTCTACATGGGAGCCATGGTGGGTTCCTGTTATGCTCGTCTCTTTCTCAGGGTTTAGAGCAACACTGTTGGGTAGATGTTTAGATGAATGTGGGTGGAGCGGAATTCTATTAGCTGTGTGCATAGGTCCAAAGGATGTAGGCTTATGAATGATATTAATAGTTTTTGTTGTTATTTTCATATCTGACCTGTGATTTCATACCATGCCTCCCATTAAATAAGTTCATATAGTTGCTCCCTGAGAAGCTGCAGATGCAAAGGTTTTATAATATCTCAGTACAGCAAGCTCTTCTCTCCTGTGATTGTCATTGTGAAGAAATGTTTTCCTGTAACATGGAGGGAGCCTGCTTGTTTGGGCTTCTTGGTTCTGCCCGACCCCCCAGCTGTTTAGTACTAGAGAAAAACCACACAGAAATCTATATAAGTTATAATGCTGATTGGCCCCTTAGGTCAGGCTTCTTACTGGCTAACTCTCACATCTTGATTAACCCATTTTTCTGATCTATGTTAGCCATGTGGCTCAGTACCTTTTTCAGTGGGGCAGCTCACATCCTGCTCCTTCGGTGATCTGGGCAGGAGTGCGAGGAATCAACTTCCTCTTCCCTAGAATTCTCCTGCTCTCCTTGCATCATTTCCACTTCCTGTCTGGTTTTTTCCCACCTACACCTCCTGCCTGGCCAATCAGTGTTTATTTAAAACATGATTGACAGAATACAGACAATTCTCCTGCACCATTTTCCTACATTGAACTAAAAGCTCTCTCCCTATGGCTCTTTTTAATTGTGTTCCAACTTTGTCTACCAAGAATTGATGGAGGAGGGTTATCTGTCTATTGTGTTAGTTTCATTGGTCAATAAAGAGACTGCCTTGGCCCTTTGATAGGACAGAAAATTAGGTAGGCGGAGTAAACAGAATAGAATGCTGGGAAGAGGGCAATGAGGCAGAAGCCATGGAGCCAGCCACCAGGTCAGACATGCTAAATCTTTCCCGGTAAGCCACACCTCGTGGTGTGATACAGATTATTAGAAATGGGTTAATCAAGATGTGAGAGTTAGCCAGTAACTAACTCTGTAGAGATAATGGGCTAGGCAGTATTTAAATGAATACAATTTGTGTGTTGTTATTTCTGGGACTAAGCTAGCCATGTGGGAGCTGGGCAGGACGAAAAGCAGGCCTGCCCGCAGCCCCTCACTACAAAGAATACCTTATTTTCTTCCCTGTGGCAATTGTTTTCTTACAGAAATACAATCCTTATGCCCTTATGTCCTCCCCACATCAAATCTCTTCTGTAGTCTCAGTGTGCTTTATTCATGCACGCTTTCCTTGTATGTGATGTCTTCCAACTTTTTACCTTGGTAATAGATTCGCCAATGTATCTTGAAGGTGTAGCATAAAACATTCAAAGATGGTTTCTGACCATCTTAGACTATAATGGGGACATTGATTCCTCCACCAGAAGAGTGAGAACTCGCTTTTAGTGTCACCTCCTACCTGGTCAGCTCATAGGGAACAGTGGTGTCTCCTCAGTCATTCTTACAGGTCTGCCCTTTAGCTGCGTCTGTCAACTGACGTGTTCAGTTTTCTTGAATTCCATGTCTTCACTCCTTCCATTTTTAAGTTTCAGTTTGCTAAAACAACTGTGCTATTTCAGCTGGTTGGCACTGCTGTAGGATGTTTCAGTCACTGAATGCAATGGGTAACTTTCCCAGTGCCATTTCTTATTCTGCCAGGTTCCCATGTCACGTGCCTCCAACTTATGTTTACTGTTGGTATACAAAAGGTCTAGATGGGCTTTGTGCTATGATATGGTGTGAGATTGTAGCTTGGCAGATGGGTCCGAACCACAGTGGGTGAGAGACAAACACAGTGCAGAAAGAGTTTATGTGGGGAGTTTTAGTGGGGAAAGGAGAGAGGGAGGAGAGAAAAAGGGAGTGCAGAGAGGCCTCGTGGAAAGAGAGAGAGAGAGAGAGAGAGAGAGAGAGAGAGAGAGAGAGAGAAGTAGGCAGAGTTTCACCTTTTAAAGGGATCTGGAAGGAACACACAGCAGGTCAGGGTACTGCCTGTCATGCATGCAAGGGTGACACACTCTGCCAGGTCCTCAAGGGGCAGGGACAGGTGTACCTGGATGCTAACACTTTATAAATAAAGATGCCAAACTATTTCTGAAAATAACATAACATTTTCTCTCCATC